AGATTTGTGTTAAAAGTTATAAAGCAGTAAAGTTTGGTATTGAAATCAGATAATCAGATCGAATCAAAATTTCACGAAAATGTGAAGGATGATAGATAAAGGTTGGAAGTATTATTTATATATTTTATAAAAGTGAAATTTAACATGGATCAATGGAATTAAGGTCGATTTTCCATGTTAAGCTAAAATTTTGGAATTAGGTGACTAAATTGCAATTTTCAAAAAATTTCAAGGATAAAAGTATAAAATCAGAATTAAGATATTTTCTTTATGGATTTGATGATGTAAGGGATGATGTCATGGAGTGGCATGGATTAAATTGTTAAGTTTTATTAAGGGCAACATGGTAAAGTGGATTAAATGAATTTAAAATTTATTTATATTAGATAATGACATATGTATTATGGGATAAGTTCTAGTAAATTGAAGAAAATTTCAGTTTCTTCATCCTCCTTGCTGCCGTGAGACTCCATGAATAAGGTGAGAAACTTTGTTTTTAATTTTTGGTCCATTTTTATTAGAATTTTAAGTTAGGTTATTAAGGATAAAATAACCAACATGAAATTCTCTTTCATTTGGCATAAAAATCTTCATGTTTCATGCTCAAGTTGGTAAGATTTTGATGAAGGAGAAGTGTGATTTTTTTTATGATTGAAGATCGATTCTTGATATTAGAAGTGTTGTAAGAATTGATGAAGAATCTGAGGATGCAAATTAATGAAAACAATTTAGATTTTGAATCTGACAGTGAGTTTGAAAATTCACCAGAAATTCTATAAAAATGATTTGGAAGTATTTTTTTATATATTTGTGTTATTATATCAATCTAGTTTTTTTTAAACAAACGGGGATCAATTTCAAGGTATATACAAAAAATATGAATTTTTAACCTATGAAAGGTCAGAAAAACGAGACAACAGATTCTGCACAAAACAGATTATGTCGGTCAACTTTGAAAGTTAACCATAAATTGTATAGAATGAACTAGAAGGATTTATTTACATGGATAGATTCTTATTTGAGTCTAGTTTTCAACGGAAGAAACAAAATTAAATTCCAGTGTGTATATCAATACAGAATACTGATTCTTTAAAGGTAGTACGAGTTGTATGAATATGAACATTTTAGAATTTAAATGGAAATGTATTAGAAGCTGAAGAGTAATGTTTAAATATTTGAGTATATTTTTGGATGCTTGGAATTGAATTTAAATGGAAATAGACCATTTTGAATAAATTGGAAATGTTGAGAATAATTCTAAAAGAATTCATTTTAATGGTTAGATGGTGGAATTCGAAAGGTTCCAAAACTTTGGGGACTTGTTTGCAAGTTCTTAAATGAAGAAGTATTATTTGAGTAGATTATTGAATGCTGAAAATTTATTAGTATGCTGAATTTTGAATTAAATATTGAGTTGAGGTTGAATTAAAAATTTACAAAGTTAAGTGTTGACAAATGAAACTTTAGGAAAGTTTGGGTTGAAATTTATAATGTTTTGAATATTGAAGAATTGATTTGGGTATTTTATTCAAGTGCTAGAATTTTAGTAATTAATGTACAATTATCATAATGGTGAAGGACCATTATGAATTACATGGAAAGGTTGAGGTGAATTCTAAAAAGAATTCACAATTTGTTGCTTATTTGTGTAATTTAGCAAAGATGAAGGGTTAAAGATGAAAATAAATATTCATGGATTTGGAAGAGTATTTCAAAAGTTGGAAATTATAATAGAAATATGATTTAGTTTGATATCGATTTTTATTTTGTAGATTTTCGAATATAAAAATCAGCTTATATTAGTACGATACTAATATGTAGTTCGAACAATTTTTGTGTTATAATTTGATATTGTCAGACTATGATAAATCTAGCAACGATTCGAAAGGAAAGGACAAAGCTCATGACTAGGATTATTATATACAAGGTCTGTAGTGAGGCAAAGGTGAGTGCAGTTTATTTATTTAATTATTTTGATTGAGGAAGACTTGCGATAAGTCAACCTCATATTATCTTTTAAAAGTATGGTTTTATTTAAATCATTGAATATTTCCATAATGACATATAAAGGATTTATGATTATTTTGGGTATGAAATTACCCAATATGTTTTTATATGATATTTTCTAAAAAATGTATTCGAATGAATCCTTTTTTATAATGATTTTAAAGAAAGATTTTTATTGTTAATGATGAAATATTTTCGCGATGATTTTAGAAATGTTATTTGAATTATTTTGGGTATAAATTACCCATGTCATGTTTTACGAATGTGAATTAAATATATTTCTGATTCTGATATGGTTTTTATCAAATGATTACGAAATGAACTAAAAGCTCACTGTATGTTATATTGAGAGTTAAAGGTACAATTGGCATGCTATGAGGTGGAGTGATTATTTGTTCTGATTCTAATATACACTGGAGTGTACACTAGTATATATATATTCTAATTTGAATGCACTTTGTGTGCATATTGTTATTTCCGATGTGATAGCACTGTGTGTGTTTATCTGTTCCGACTCTGATGATCTGAGATCTGTATTGCGCACACTTATTTGACTCATGTACCTTATATTCTCTTAAAATATACTTTAGGCTATAAAAATGAAATACGAAAGTTCTGAAAAGTGTCTGATTACAAAAGAATATAAGCTGATTATTCTGTCTGATCTGGTTCATTATGATTTTGTAAAAATCATCATATGATTCTTTTCAGGTTTCTGATAAAGTTCAACATGAGATATCCAGTTTGAAATTCAAAAAGTTTGTTTATTTGATTTTAAATAAATATATATATATATATATATATATATATTGATACTTTATTTATTTGTTCTCACCTTTAATATTACTGCCTCACTAAGTTATACGTAGCATGTGATGATTTTCATGCATAGGGTCTGATTTAGATACAGACTTTTTATGAGGAGCCTTCCAAACATCATGTGCAGATCATCTATAATACCAGTATCAGTAAGACATCGTTAAATTTTCTTTTGACTAGTAGTGGCATGTATATTTATGTTATCAGTCTGCTTTATCAGTTTTGATTAAATGGTTAGTAATAGTAAATTAGAACTGTTTAATTTAACTAGATTAGCTTATCAGTATTTTAATATGCCTAAAATTATATAATAAATAAAATAGTATGTTTTAAATGGTATGTAAATTCAAGTAGACAAAAATAGTTGATAAAAATTTGAAACTAGGAATGTTTAAAAAAAAATTAAGTAACTATGAATAGTAATCGTTAGTCAATTTGATGTGACATATATGGCTCTTATTCTTAGATGTTTACGGGTTATGAATGTTACAAGTACTTTCATCTGGATGGTCGAAACCACCAAGTGATAATCAAGTGAAGAAATCGCTCGTGGAAGTCAAGGATACTAGCGTTCTTTCCTACTTTTAAGGAAGAAGGGACGATATCTCACTCATTGTCAATCCTGGTGTTTTCAAGACCAAAAGCATGGGCAATAGAGTTAGAATCAATAGTAATGTATTCGCCCAAGAGATAGGAACAAATACTTTCAGTTTGTGTACGAGCTTCATTTTGGATGCAAACCGCATTAAAATGGAAAATGCGAACTAGTTGGTGAAAGACAACGGGTTTAACTTTGAAAGTGTTGTCAAATTTCCAAGCTTGTAGAAGGGGTAGGTATTTAAAGTTCATTTCTTGCATCGTTGAAAGAGAGGGGAGACGCTCACCCCTAATAGCATAAGACTCAAAATAGTTTAGATATATTGAATATAGATTTCGACGATTAGGTTCATTAAAACATGAATTTACTATGGACATTTCAGTTGGATTGGAGGATTTGGCGGAGGGTTAGGAGGTGGATTAACACGAGAGGAGGAGGATTTAGGACATTTGTGAGACATTTTAATGAGAATCAGAATAAAGATTATACATGCAAAGAAAGACAATACATATGTATGCACTCAATTAATCCCAAAACTCAATATGAGTAAAAAAAATTGTATATTCTAGTGTTAAAATGCAAAATAAGTAAAGTCCATTCACTAATTTAAGCAAAAACTAACTAAAACTAGCCCTAAATTTGAAAAGAAAAAAATTAGGGTTTTAAAAAAATTACCTTGAAAATTAGGATTGAGATGTAATTTGATGATGAATGCACGATTTTGATGATGCTAGCAGGCTGGAAAGTTGAAAAACAATGCAAATCCGACTCCAAAAAGATGCAATGAGGCGATTTTGAGAGAGGGTAATGAGTGTTGCGGCTGAGTGTTTTAGAGTTAGGAAAAGAGTGATATTTTAGGGTTTTGTAAGCTAAACCCGATATGTAGTATTGGTACTCCAGTTTGATTATCGATACGTCAAGGCAAAAAATAGATGGTATCGATATCGAGTATCGATACCCTATCGAGGCTGTAATAACAATATCGGTACTTGATGAATAGTATCGATACTGATCAAGAACAGTATCGGTACTGTATGAACAATACCGATATTAAGTGCACATAATGGTTCAAAAATTGAAACAAAAACACATAGGATACAAATTTCAAAGCATAAATAGTGGTATAGCAACTCTAATTGGGAAAATCAAGTATGTTCAAGAAAACAAATATACACTTAAGCATAATTTGAACATATTGTTAATTTTCATGAAAAATCATAAACTCCCCCTAACTAATAGCATAGAAGGCATTAAAGAGGTCATTTTGTATGCATTTTTCTTTAAACATAAAAGTGCAAAAGTTATTTTAAACAAAAAATCAAGGTAGTTTTATTTTGCAGAGTTTTCATCCCCAAACGGTTAGAAACGACCACAACTTAATTTGCACAATTGTAAAGTTTATTTAAAAAAGAAAGAACAAATTTAAACAATTCTAAGGTTTTTATAATTTTGCAAAAATACACTTTATTTAATTATAATTTAAAAAAATTATTACTTAAAAATTAATTTGTGATACAATTAAATATTGACTACAAAAACTTAAATAAACAAATTTATTACTTATATTTGTGCAATTTTTGCCGATGTCGAGGCGTGGTAGAATGGTAATGACGTGGTGCTCGTCGATTTCGTCGTGGTCGTCCACTTTCTTCATTTTTACTCTTTTTCCAGTTCCGGTGTTCTGAACACTACTCCACCACTTTGATATACATCTTCGGGTGAAAACGATGGAGTACTCAAGGTATTTGACGCCATCATTGACGTCATTGCCTCAAATTCAGATTGTCCGTGATGAAGAAGATGATCCCATGGACCTCTTTCTTCCGGTTCTGAGGAAAATTGTTGTGAAGGTGGCACTTGATCCCACCCACTTCCTTCCCACGCCGCTCGACTCTCCATCGATGGTTGATATGCACCATATCCACCATAACTTTTATTGCGATGGACAATAATTGACGGAAGCATAAGATGAAGATGTTAATGAAGATGATGATTTTTTCCTATATTTTTCCTTCATTATTTCCACTCGGACCGCTCCTCCGGCATTGTCAAGTATGGTTTCCCATTTGCTTCATAATTTTGGAGGTAGGGAGAAACATTGAAATCAAAATCTTCGGGTTGTACCTCGGAACGATTAAGCAATCGTAAATGACTATTTTGCCAATAATATATGAATGTAGCATGCTTCATCGGCCAATCTTCGTTATGCTTCCCATGCGCATCTACTTTATGCAAATCATCAATGTTATATATTGACATTTCTATCGGTTGGTGAAACCCAAATTGTCGTAAAACTCTATTGGCGACATGGATCTCAACAATTGCAAAATGGAGCAATGGTGTTATGACACACCATGTGTCTGCTCATTCAAAGAACATTGGTGGTAGACATTGTTAGATATCTGACTCACAATTAAGAATCCAATTAAATTGTCAAAAATATTATGTTAGTATAATTAAATAATTAATATTACAATTTAAAAGTTAATGCAAAAAAATACGAAAATTTACCGCATGTCTACCGGCGATATCAATTCTCATCTGAATATCTACTTTGGTTGCGCCCGATAACTTTGTATCGATTATTCGGTGTCGTCATCTAAAAGAATTACAAAATTTATTGTCATTTTCAAAATATTAAAATAAATATTATAAAATATGAAAAATGTTAAATATATGAATTTACCTTGCGACGAGAGGAAACTTCATAGGAGCAGATATAATAGGCGTCATAAACAGGAGACAATACCACGCCCATGATTGGAGCAAAACTAAACAACCCGCTACTTCTGTTTTTTCTCTAACGACTACGGTCGCCTTACATAGTTCACGATACAAAAATGCCAAAATTGCATAACCCCAACTATATTGGCGACATAAAACGAAATCCTCCATTATCGGAAGATATTGGGTGTACGCCAAATTACTCGATTTATCCCGTAGTAAGATCCCTCCAATCAACGTTGTCGTAACCGGTTTTCGTCCGGGCACGAAATATTATAATTGGCGGGGAAATTGATGTGAATAAATATTTTTGAAAATAATTTGTGAGTCGCCATCGACTTTTTGGATCAGGTAAGTCGAATACCTAAAAATTATTTTTTAAAAGAGTTTTAAGAAAACATCAATTAAAAAAATGAACTGATCTGCGTTTTATAACCAAAAATTCGTTCTTTTTAATAATAAAAAGGATTCGTGGTCGGTTACGTTTAGGGAAGGATTAGCACCCCTACAACGCCCAAAATTGGTACTTTTTAATTATAAATTGTCTCTATTTATTAAAATTTAAAAATTCAAAAATATATTTAATTTATAATCCTATTATTTCAAAATTATATAAAAAAATATTTATTTATTTAAAAATATCAGAAAAGAACTTCTAGGTGCCTTAAGACAGCTCTTTTCTTTGATATTGATCAATATTAATTTAAATAATATTGTTTAATTTTAAAATATCAGAATAGGACATCCAGTTGTATTAAGACTGTACCGTTCTTTGATATTGAAAACTAAATATTAAAATAATTTATTTAAAATAAATATTTATTTATTATATATTTATAACAACATTTAAATATATAAACAAGTAAAAAAATACAATTCTAAATATATATTTAAAAGCAATAAAAAATACTTAAAATAAATGACTAAAATATAGTGAAATTAAAATTGACAAACCTAATTCATAATTAATTAGAATTACAGGGATTAATCATGATATTTTCTTATTTAATAATTTAGTGATTAAAATAAAATTATCTAAAATTCGGATATTATAATAAAATAAATTAAAAATATAAACTAGGGATTAAAATATTATTTATTAAAATTAAGGGATTAAATCTGTTATTTATCCTAAATATATTATTTAATATAAAGGACTAAATGAATAAAATTGAAATTCGAAGACTGAATTAAAAATATTATAAAATCGATTTAGTGACTAAAATGTAAAGTTTACAAGTTAGGAGGACGGCGGACGGGGTTTAACTATTATCTAATTATACGCATAGTCCTTCCCGAAACGACGTCGTTCGGGAAGGCCTATAAAAGGTCCAAAACGGCTGGCCCGAAGGGCCAGCCTTCATTTCATTCTTTTTCTTTCTCTCTCAAGCAGAGAGAGCTCTGGCTTCTCTCTAGCTTCCCTCATCGGAGGGAAGCCGGTCACCGGACGGCAACCGTCTGCCGCCGTGACTGTCATCGCCGGCCACCGCATCCGGTGGCCGGAAAATTTTATTTTTACACCATTAAATAGATCGGGACGTCCTAAGGACGTTTCCGGTGTTCTTTTTCTTTAAAAAGCTCCTAATCAGAGCGAATCTACAAAAGTACCTTCGGTGTTTCGAAGGTTCCGGTGAGATCCGGTGGTCGGGGCTTCCTCGGTAAGTTTCTTTTCTTCCTTTTTCCTTCTTTTCTGTTTCTTTGCTGCTGAGATCGTTGGTAGTATTTTGTATATATATATATTTTTTCTCGGTTTTGTCTCTCTGGGATCTGTTTTCTGTCTTTTTTTTTTCCAGGTTCGGGTGGTGGCTTTTATAGCCACCACCGGTGTGGCCATCGGACCGGTCCGAAGAGGGGATTTCGGTGAGTCACCGGACTACCAGTGGTGACTCACCCCGTAGCCATGGCGTGGACGGCTGGCGTTGGAGCTTCTGGAGCCTTCGGTTGGGACGTGGCAGCGGCGGAGGCGGCGAGAGTAGCAGCGGCGGCCGCGTGTCCCTAGGGTATCATACCCTAGGGTTTCCATCTGGAGCCATCTGGACCGTTGGATCTTGCCAGATCCAACGGCAGCAAGCTGAGGCGGCTGGGATTAGGGTTATGAAACCCTAACTGAAACCCCCAAATGTTTAGGATTTCTGGTTGGTCTGGACCGGTTCTGGTTTGTTTGTAACTGGGCCGGTCCAGTTGTAATTGGGCCTGTAATTAATTATTTATATATGTATTTAATATATATTTAATAATAATAATGATAATAATAATAATAATAATAATAATAATAATAATAATAATAATAATAATAATAATAATAATAATAATAATAATAATAATAATATGGGTAAAAAATTAGTATCTTCAGCTGCCCCTCTTTGCTCATTCTTGTGTTAACAAGAATAGGGCAAAGATGAAAAGATAATAAATTTTTTTATCCATTTGGCTTCACTTTGATCATAATGGAGATATTGAATAAATTCTTCTCTCTCTCCAGATGAGTTCTTCTCATTATGAACTTTCTGCTGGGGATGATGATCTCCTTTTTTCTGTGATAGAGTCATTCAAAAGGTTGAATAAGCTTTTGATGAGTTCTTCTCATTATGAACTTTCTCTAGAAAGGCTGATGCTAATCTATCTCCTTCTGTGATAGAATTATTGAACAAGTTCTTATTATAAACTTCTTCTTTCTTCTTCAGATGACGAGTTCTTCTCATTATGAACTATACTTGGCAATGTTGATCCATCAAATGATGAATTCAAGTAAAAGGTTGAACAAATTCTTCTCATTATGAACTTCTTCTTCATTTTTCAGATGAGTTCTTCTCATTATGAACTTTCTCTGGAAATGATGATCCATCAAATGATAGATTCAGGTAAAAGGTTGAACAAATTCTTCTCATTATGAACTTCTTCTTCCTTCTTCAGATGAGTTCTTCTCATTATGAACTTTCTCTGGAAAAGCTGATCCATCAAATGATGAATTCAGGTAAAAGGTTGAACAAGTTCTTCTCATTATGAACTTCTTCTTCCTTCTTCAAATGAGTTCTTCTCATTATGAACTTTCTCTGGAAATGATGATCCATCAAATGATAGATTCAGGTAAAAGGTTGAACAAATTCTTCTCATTATGAACTTCTTCTTCCTTCTTCAGATGATTCTTCTCATTATGACTTTCTCTGGAAAAGATGATCCATCAAATGATGAATTCAGGTAAAAGGTTGAACAAGTTCTTCTCATTATGAACTTCTTCTTCCTTCTTCAGATGAGTTCTTCTCATTATGAACTTTCTCTGGAAAAGCTGATCCATCAAATGATGAATTCAGGTAAAAGGTTGAACAAATTCTTCTCATTATGAACTTCTTCTTCCTTCTTCAGATGAGTTCTTCTCATTATGAACTTCTTCTGGAAAAGATAATCCATCAAATGATAGATTTGAATCTTTGCTAAAATCTTTGAAATTCCTGTTAAAAATTCAACATAGATGAAAATGAATGAAAATGCACTTATTTTTGTAAACACTTAAAATATGATGCATGAATGTTGAGTTATTTGATTTCAGATTGGTGAATTGAGTATTTCTTCAATTGTAAAAACCCAATAGATCTTCCTTCTTTAAATCAGAGAATCTATCATCTTTGACAAATGTAGATGTATATATTATGTCACAAAACCTCTTGAGAATAAAACTCAATAGTATAGGCTCTTGAAAAGCTTGCATTCAAGCAACATGTTGATTCTGATAACAACTCATCTGATTATGAAATGACCTTTCAAGATGATTTCACAGATATCGATAGTTCTTTTAATACCGAGAAATCTTGAATTCTGATTCTGATGAGGAGAAATAACTGTTATACTTGACAAAAATGGGATTCTCAAGGGCTGAAACTTTAATAGCCCTGGAGAAATGTGGTCCAAATTCATCAATTGCAAAGTTGACAGATTTTATATGCGCTGCTCAAATGACTAAGGCTGCTGATGCACTTTTTCTGGTAAAAGATAGGAAGTCATTATGCAATGATCCCAATTACAAGCAAAGGCGAAACTTGGGCTATGATTTTTGAAAAGGAAGAAGCAGAGGAAGCTTGAAAAGAAGCTTCTTAATGAAGACGATCATGCAGTTCATCTTTCAATTCCAATGATTGGTTCTGTAGTTCCTACCAAACCAGATCAGATAACTCAAAGAACACTTCCAAAAGATGCTATTGAGTCTCCTTATTTCTACTATGAGCAAATTCATCTTCCCAATTCAATAATTGGTTCTGTCCAACCAGATCAGATAACTCAAAGAACACTTCCAGAAGATGCTATGAGCACATTCATCTTCTAAATTCAATGATTGGTTCTGTCTAACCAGATCAGATAACTCAAAGAACACTTCCAGAAGATGCTATGAGCACATTCATCTTCTAAATTCAATGATTGGTTCTGTCTAACCAGATCAGATAACTCAAAGAACACTTCCAAAAGATGCTATGAGCACATTCATCTTCTAAATTCAATGATTGGTTCTATCTAACCAGATCAGATAACTCAAAGAACACTTCCAGAAGATGCTATGAGCACATTCATCTTCTAAATTCAATGATTGGACTAGGATATCATAATGCTTATTTGATGTAGAGCCAGAATTTGTAGATTCGAAACATTTCCATGCTACTACACTGAAAAGGGCTATATTCATAATTCTGCCAATTAAGAACAGAGTTTCTCTTATTCTGCTTCCTCCATGTGCTGATGTTTTTCCATTGACAAAGAAATGATGGCCTTCTTGGAATCTAAGAACAAAGTTGAATTGTTTATAAACATGTACAGGAAGTGTCAAATTGACAGAAATGATCTGTAAGGTTCTTGAAGCTTATGACAATGAGCCACCTTCGAGTGTCCAGAAGTGTGTTCTTGATGAGTGCTGAAAATGGAATCTAGTATGGGTTGGAAGGAATAAAGTTGCTCCACTTGAACTTGATGAGGTGGAAATGCTTCTAGGTTTCCTTATCAACCATACACAAGGATCTGTATAGAGATATGTTTCCCATTGATATCATTGTCTTGTTTCTTTTTGCTGGAATCAGTGCTGCAAAGATCGCCTTCTACTGTCTTAGTATATCTTTGAAAACATAGGTGCAAAAACTGAATGGTGATCGGTTGGAGCAATTGATGAGTAGATTTGGCAGATTCGACCTTGTTGTCGGTAGCATCCCATGTAACAATCTTGATGTTCATGGCTTTAAGATGGTGATGAT